GATGGACACATATATAATAGTTATGAATATAAATTGAACGAAGTCAGTAAATTCTGTTGTTTTGCATGTCACTTCGTACATGTAGTCCTATTTAGTAGACGCCAAACCTAAATTTAACAATTTTTATTGAATTTTATTCCAATGGAATGGGATGGGACAGGCATAATTGCTATGGAATGGGAATGGGACAGGAAAATATGTCACATGGACAAGCCGGTTAATAATTCTCCGCGTTTCGCATAGCGTAGAGTCAAATCGGATACAGCCGTCATGCGGATTGAAAACCGTGTTCACATGAAAAATAAAATATAGCGAAATTTTGGATGAAATATCAGATCTCATAGGATTCATATAAAATATGGGAATAAGTAAAATGAATATACTTCTAGCTAAAAAATACAACCTTTAACCACTGAACAGTTCAAAGGAATTGGTCGATAAATGAATGAGAAAAGCGATTGAATGAGAAAAATACTAACAAGAGCAACAATATTATAGCAAAACGATCCATAGTTCGATTTCGCTTTAAATAACTATTTTAGTATATTTAATTCATAGATATGCAGAGATACAACCGAGCTATTTACAATTAGTTGATCACAGAATTTCCTAGTTGAAGGGACACGGAAACGCAGGCGAACGAGCGGGTATTTAATTATTATCCTGTTATGTTTATATATCCCCTGTTTTATAATTACAAAGTACGGTAATTAAATACGTTCAAATGTCCAGATTTATTCTTAGTTGTGTGTAATTATCATTAATGATTATCGTCCGGCGCTTGTGTAACTTGGTATTAAGTAAAGTCCGCGTACCAGATTACAGTCTGCATTTCCTCGACCACCTGTCTATTAAATATCGATATCCCTTAAATTTGTATCGCTGTTGAAAAAACTTTGCCCGATTCGTCAAAAGGTTGACAATTTTGGTCTAGAAATAACGAATTTCTAAAAATCAGATGCCATTTTTATACGATATTTATCCACGCATTTCATTAATCAGTAATTTATTACTTCGTTATGCTGAAAATACGCATTATATACATACAGTCATACACAAATCAAAAGAAATATATATAAAAAATCGCATATTAGGGTGAAAGGAAACACCGAAAACAAATAGGCTACTGCTTATCGAGCGGCGGCAACCTTGAGAACGTCTAACAGAAGATAATAAATAGAATGAGGTCGAAATAAACATGTTAATAAACATTTCGCCCGGAACGAGGCCGTATACATGCGTCTACTGGTATCTACCTGTATGGTTAACGTAGTGGATGAGATGGGGCATGGAATTTGAACTCTTGTTGTGTAATCTGCGTTGCCAGCACGTTTTTCTGAAGGCAAAATTTTTCAATTCGGGGGGTGTGACTTTCGGGCACTTACAATTGTATTATTCATGCCGTTCGCACCGAACGAGGCCCTGTGTAAGCAGCCCTGATATCTAACCAGTTGCAGTTACATAGCGGAACCGAAATCTTTGCGGCTCGTCACTGCCTACTCGATTTATTACACTCTGGCCGGGGTCATAGAAATTGAACCAGTGATGTGTAATCTGCGATGCCAACACAATTGGGTTTCACGCTTTACTCGCTTTGGCATTGCCTGTTAAATTTATTTCTCGCTTCGTAGGATTTGAACGCGAGATGTTTATCTGCGTTGCCAGCACAATAAAGTCTGACGTTTCAACCGATAGGCCATTTCGACGCCATTTTTTGAGAAAAGAATTTTTTCATTTTTTTCGGGTTTTACCTTTGCATAGGAAAGTTGTTGGGCCACGGAAATTTTTGTTTAACAAAAGTGGACCCCGAGAGAAAAAGGGGTTATGAACCGCTGGCTTAGCCATTTTGAACGTGCGCTTTTCGGATGCCAATGATAATCGATATACACGTGTTAACCTGAGAATGTCAATGAATATCGATCAGTAAAACAAGTTAATGATTAGTCTGTTTCTGGAAGTGTAATGAAAAGCGACGTGTGCTGACTATTTGAATAACTCGAGTCACGCTACCAGAGGGGGGGCAAGGTTTTTGGATCGGGGCCCAACAATTTTGTTCACGTAGACTGGAGGGTAATGTAAGTGTGACGTAAAAGGTTACATTTTATGGAAAATATTCTCGGTGATACAAAAGCAAAAGTGGAAAACAATAAGCCTCGTGCCAAAACTAAATTTAACCGCAATATCAACAAATTCCTTGAGATATTTTTGAATAAAATATCAAAACTAGGTTTTAGTCAGGTTGTGGCAGCACCAGGCGAGCCATATTGAATTACCCAAAGAGCCGGATTTGGCCCGCGGGACGTAGTTTGCCCATGTCAGGGTCAGACTAACAACTTCTTGCAACCCCATATTGGATCTGTATGCGTAAAACACAATAGTGTATTTGTTTAAAACCACATTTCTTCATTCCAGTGTGTCATTTTGTGATCCCTCTTACACTAATCGATAAATCCTCGTATAAGTTAAACAAATAAACGTTAAATTAGGGGCTGAACATTATAGTCGCCCAACTCTTGGAAGAAAAATAAACCACAGAAGCGTCGATACATAGAAGTTTATTTATTAATATTGGATACGCCGATAATGATGATTCTCCGTTGTTCTGTGTTATTTATTGTTGAGATGATATCTATGATAGTAACGTCCCCAGCTACTTTTGAGCAATGAAACATACTTGGACAAAAACTTGCGAGTCTGTCTATTGGGGATGGGCCGTTTATCTTTACTGAATGAATATAAGCATAAGCCCAGATACCACAAGCAAACGCGTACCACCGATTTCTACACGTGAAAGTGAAAATCCTTCCTCGGAAACTTTGAAATGAAATTTTTCATGTCCACTTCGGTTGGAGGAACTTTAATAAGACGGCCTAATCACGTGTAGGAATGACTTAGTCCAAGATAAAAGAATATGGGATGAATAAAAATAACAATTAGTTTTAATAGGTAAAGTCGACTAATTAAGGTCTTCACACGAATTTCAAGATTATTTATTCATAAACAACTCGGTAAATCCATGTCATATCAGTTCATCAGACTGTGACAACGTCGTTTCTTAACATTGTGACATAATAATCGCATTAGAAGTCTTCTTCCGGACGTTAAATATTATTATATTAAGGTATGAAGTGATAGTATTATGTGTGAGTGTTTAGCATGACGTGCTGATAAACTAAATAATGATGTACATTCAGAAATAATCTAAGAAGCAGTATACCGTGTTTCCCCGGAAATGAGACCTCCCTTGTAAATAAGAACTGGCCTGAATTTTAAAACTGATTTTAATATAAGACTCCCCCCCCCCTTAAAAGTCGATAGTGCGAAAGTTATTTTGATCTAGTCCAGGGGTGGGCAACCCCTGGCACGCGTGCCAAGCTTGGCACTGGAGCCCATCAATTCGGCACGCGAGCGAGGCCTCGGAAACGAGATCATTTTCCTTCAGATAAAAAGTTTCAAGACTCTGAATTATCTGATGAAACTACGTGTTCGTTTATTCATTATCGTTCGTTGACAATCCGTTATTTATTTACACTTTTTGTCCTTTCATAACATATGGCTACAAAGAAATATATTATGACGAAACATATGAGTGAGCTCTCGCGAAATTTTGTCAAGAAGAGCGAAGCATTCACTTGGCTACGTTCTTACGTAATATAGTTCATATGTGTCACCCTTTTTCGTCATTTCTGCTTGATTTATGAAGTTGTACAGCTCATGTCGGTTATAGTTGCTTGCTAACTTACTGTGATAAATTAATGTCAAAAAAAATATAAGCGATAAGAAAAGGGAATACAAGAGAAAATTGCAGAAAACTAACTATTGCGTGATTGGGATGCCATTCCCGACAATTTTTCATGTCTTAAAAACTTTGCAACTGAATTACTCTCCATGTTCTCATCTACATAATTATGCTTGTGAATCTCTGTTCTCAGTTATGAACCTTATTAAGTCTTGTAACAGGTGTAGCCTAAAAGATGAAACCAGTAGTTCGTGTATTTCTTTGAAAGTTACAAAATATAAACCCAGTGTGAAATCTCTATCAGCGGTAAGGAAGCAGCAGAAGTCTCACTGATATAGAATAAGAAAAGTAATCAAATCTTTTGTCGGATGGATATTCGCACTAATAGTTATCTGTCTGTACAAGTTTAAAGGTTTTATTATTGTGTATTTTTGCTTTGAAAGTAGCAAAGCATTGTTACTAATTTTGGCCGGCACGCGGAAAAATTTTGTCGTCAGTCAATGACAAGAGGCTTCTCCTACACGTTATAAATGATTAACCTAAAACGTGCGAAAGAGGGAAACGTGTCATTTATAAGTAAATGGATAAAAGTTTTTATATTTTGTATATTTGAAATTCTCGTTAATTTTCTACTTGTCTATGTCGTATTTTCGGGAAAACACTGTTGTATCACTACATAATGTTTTCAGAGCATCGTTTTTTTCGCTTCAATCTCTACATTTGTACAGCGAACGATTGTTTACTTGCGCCACTGTACGAACCAAGTATCCAAAACCTATGAACAATAATTGTGAGAAACGGAAGACCTCTGACAGGAATATCGAACCTTTCTCCTAGCAAAAACTCAATATAAGCGGCGCTCCATAAGCGTGTGTACCAATTTGGAGGTAACTAATTTTGTTCGCCTACACTGGACTAAAACAGACAGTACCCAAACTCGTAATGGAACTAAGATAAGGTAAATTGAAATAAATTGGCCTAACCCAAACCTTGTACACATACTACGGGAGTACCGACGAACGACTAAAATGCGCCACCATGCGAGCCAACTTGTAACAAACAATAAAATAGACACCAAGTCTTGACATCAGAAATAAAACACGCTAAACTGCATATATGTATTCATATATTATATACATCAAATTTTACAAATTCATTCATTTCTTGTAAAATTAAGAAGAAAAGCTAAGCACACATGAAACTTTATACAAATGTGTATACAATATACCCTGTACAAGATCCTTGTTGAGAAAATTTTTTAGACGAACTGCTTCAGCGCGCGACTCACTAAAAAGGCCAAACTTGGCTGCAAATGCACAAAAAAAATTTACTGAAAAAAAGCTTAAAATACTGTGGTTTATATACAGATGTAGAGTGAAAGACATACCCAGCGATTTTCAGAAATTAGCTTCAAGAAAGGTCATAAGAATGAATTTTAAAATGAACCATATGTACAAATACTAATTGATCTTGGTGATTCCACAACTTATACTATTTTATGTGAAACACAATTTTAATATCCTTAAAGTTTCTCGGCTCAACAACCTGTCAGTGTTCGAGCAAATTTACTCATGTTACATGCAGGCGAATCATCCAACATCAAATTGAATGAACTATTACTGTTAACTAAGTACCAAGAAGATCTTGATGAAACCACAACTTATACAACTGTGTATGGATTTCAATCAATTCCATATTTTTGAATTAAAAATTGAATCAAAGCAAATTTGATTTAAAAATTGGAATTGAAAATCAAAATCCATATAGAATTATATAAGGGATTTTAAATATTGACTGTTGGCTCAATTTCATATTCTAGAATCAAGATTTGACAAATTAACCGACCAATTATAACCATTGTTGTGAAGGCTCAAGCCATTGATCCGACAAGAGTTGAACTCAAGTCATTAAAATTAGATGACTTGGAATCATCACCACCTAACCACTCGTGAGCTAAGTAAATCAGTGATTCACTTGCAACCCAGCACTGATTATAAACCTTTTTGCAAAAACCCCATACAGAGAAGGATAGGATTTACATATCTATCCCAGAGGAGAGGAAAGAATTTAGGACATCTTATCCATATGGCGAACCACGGCGACTAGACCGGTTACGTGTCCACGTCGTGTATGAGATCGGTTTGACCAATTATTTGTTTTCATATGCATGGGCTCGAAATGTCATATAAAACATGACAGGTGTAAATATTTTCAGCAAGAAGATATAATTGTTACTTGTTGAAATAACAGCAAGCAATCAGAGATAAGAATTACAGATCGCTAAAATTTTAAGATAAAATAGACGAGAGAAATCAAACTATAATGTTGACTGATATGGAGGATCTATATTATACAATGACCATACTATATCTGTTAGGGTAAGAGATTATAATTTAATAGGCAATTCTCAATGGGCAGAAGCAGAACAGTATAAATGTCTGCTAATGTAGAAATTCTAGTAATAGGGACACATTAGCTATTGTGGGGCCATTTAAACTGGGGTTCTGGCCCCCGTGTGGGTCGCCGTCAAATATTTTTCATCACCAACTGAGACCCACCATCACCAAAACAGAGCTAAGATTCGATTTTTTATGCGAGAATATGCAAGCTCGTCGATCTCATTATAGGGTGTTGTCAATTTTATTATCATTTTGTTAATATGCTCTGTATTATTGAATCATACTCTTTTTACATTTTGTTCCAGGTGGTCGCGAAAAAATTTGGCTGTGCCAAGATGGTCGTGATAAACAAATATTAAAAAGCAATTGCATTACTGATAACCCAACTAATAACTTTGCTTATTTTGGATGCCTGCGGAAAAAATATTAAAGTATAATTCGGTGAATCCAAACATTAAAGAATACTACACACGATATCTGATATTTTGAATTCATTTTAGGCCAAATATAAAATTGACAATTATTAGAAAATGAATGTTGGACAGGCCGATTGACAATTATTAGAAAACGAATGTTGGACAGGCCGATGTCTCCAAGCCATGAACAAAAGGTGTAAAATAAAATATATAACAGATCTTTCTAAGCATATAATTACAAATGAGCACATATAAAAGCTAAATACATACATATATTTGAAAAAAAAACTTCGAAAAAAAAAAGTGCAAAATTAATAGCGGCATTATCGCAAAAATGCTTAGTCATGTTTATTCATCCGACTCATCATCTTCGTCATGAGTGTGAGTGATTTCTTTTGGCAATTCCACACGAGATAAACTTTCTTCGAGTTTATGAATCTGGTCGCCGAAATCATTCTAAAAATAAGAAAATTTGTTATCACTTATATTCGGAGAGAATTTTAATGAAAATAACATATCAGTATTAAAAAGTGAAATTTGACATATAGATCACAATTTATTAGTGTTATGGACTAATTTGGAACATGTAAAATCATTTTAAATTTTTCGAGAATACTAAAATATATTTTCTGAGCAGAGCAATCTTCTGAGCTCCCAAACGAAAAGTGTGAATAGTATTGATAAAAAAGATGTTAGCTGAGTCAAATGTTAGCTATGTTGAGACATGCTCTTGCAAAAGAGATGCCAGTAGATATTAAAGTGCTCCACATCAGGAATGATTATAATTATAATGATTGATGATTACAAAACACAGTGAATGGCAAAGAAAAATTGCTATTTTTTTCTACATTCAAAATGAGGGTTACGACCCTCGAAACTCCAATTCCCCCCTGGCTACTACTCCCCTGGCCCAGGAGCACCTTTCCAAAAATTACAAGCATGAAATTGCGATCATCCACCGAAAAATCATGCAAAATGTGAGAAATGTAATCGCATGATGATGTAAATGTATTTTTTTTATATAGATTATGACATGCAACTGCTTATTCATTTATTTCATTTACTTTTCTGCAAGTAACTAAAAATGTATTTATTCACTTCCTCATCTCAAAGTTTCCATAACATTAGTAGCCGCTTGGAATTCTCATGATGACAGGATATTAAAGTATTGTGATTAATTTCCAATTAGGAAATAATGTTGTGGGCTAAAGTTTAAAGTGAGTTTCATCCTCGTTGGAAGACAATCTAAACCAGTGGTTCTCAAACTGTGGGGCACAGAAAATTTTTGAGTGGCCGTAAAGCTAATTAATTTGTTACATTTGATCCAGCTCGCCTAATTTTGGATATTTACATTTAATTATTTTGGATATTCACGTTCATCCATCTTTTGAATAAAAACATACCTTCTATTTACCCTTACTATCTCTTATTTGTAGCTTATTGTTAGCTAGTTATTTTTAAGGTGGGGGGCGAGGCTTGACAAAATCTAAAAAGGGGGCGTGGCTTTAAAAGTTTGAGAACCACTGGTCTAAACATAGATCGAAAAGTAGTAAAACACCGACCATACACTGGCAGTAAATCAAGGAAGAAGCTTCACCACACCACATACTCAGGATGCCAGTGGGTATGGCATCTTCACCCCGAGTGCAGGGGCAATGCTTGATAACCCCTAAGGTTTCTTATAAGCTCCATCCCCCAAGGTTTCTTATGAGCTCCATATTAGATTTCATGAATGATGGGTAGACTTATTATATAAGAATGTATTTTTTTATAAAATAAACAATTAGGATTTTCAGATTAAGAGAATCTTAATGAATATTAAATAAAAAAATAAATCCCGCCATATGCCCAGGGTGTCTGTGGATTCAATACCTTCACTGGCATACCAGGGAAATGCTGTATAACTCCCAGGTTCCTTTTAGGCTTCACATTAAATGATAAAGTGTGACATAAAACTTATAATATACGAATGTACATGCCTGACAATAAAATTTACATGTTTACCCAAGTATTTTTGTATAAAATAAACAATTAGGATTTTAATATTGATTATTCCAACTTGAACACCCCTCATAAGACAAACAACACATTTTTCTCAACAAGGATGTTGCACAACACATTTAGAAATAGAAAATAAATCCTTATGATGCAACAAAACCACCCAACCGTAAAGTGATGTAACAATGATGATACTCATCACTTCAGGTTTTGCAAGAAATACCTTTATTACTGCTGTGTTGTAGTATAATTTGGTTTCCTAGAAATTTTAGAAATATTATAACTAGGTGACATGGAATTAGAAAAGGTGTAAAAGGGAAAAACAATGAAAAATCGAAGTTAGCTTAATCACATGGCAAATCACAGGCTATCATTCGGTCACCATGTCAGTGCAGAAATGGGATTAACCAGTTAGTAAATGTTCTGTTTATATGGACTTTTGAGCGGTTGAGAAAGGGGTTACATGATTATTAGACATGAACAAATCATGGTGAAGTCATAGAAAGCCCATTCCCAGCATTGAGACTATGGCTAACAATAAATATGTTGCCAATCAAAACATTAGTGGCTCCTTATATATGAGTGAGTACTTTTTCAGAGCCTTGTTCATACAAAAAACAAAATGTCGCAAAGAAGTAGTCACTCTGGCTTATAAAAACTGACTTAGATTCAGCATTGCTTACTCAATTAATTCAGAATTAATAATGATATGATAGACTTGATTTTATGTTGTTAGTCATCATTATGAAAAGACAATTTTTTCAGTCCAATCAGGTAATCATTTATTGGCCTGAACTACTTCAAGACTTGTATTAATTGCCGCCTTATGAAGCACCATGTATCGATACTCCCAAAGAATGTTAACCAAGATGGCGGACACCGGAACATGGTATGTGTACCAGGTTAGAGTAAGGCCATAATTTTATTCCAATTTTCCTTACTTTAGTTCTATTAAGAGTTCAGGGAGTAGCCGAGTGACTCCCGTAGTATTTGTACCTGAAAATATGGCATATGCTAAATATGGTACACATACTACGTTCCGATGTCCGCCATCTTGGTTCGCATACTACATGAGTACTTGTGAATCTATATATTTTCAGCATCTCTTATCATTTTAGTAACTTTGCACATAGATGCACTTAATTTAATTAGTATTTCAATATAAAGTGCAAAAATTATGAATTAAAACTGTGTGGTTAATTACTTCGAATCATTGAAGATAAAAAAGTTATAAAAAATCACTGAATTGCTTATGTGAATGTGGAGAATATTTAATTTCGGGTTTAGTGTAGAACAGTACCGCAGAGAAGAAACTGAGCTGACAGAATAATTGGATTTTGTTTTGGTAGAAATTATTCTGTCTGCTAGTTTATGTGGTACTGCACTACATTGTACCCATATTTTGTTAGTTACCTTATTCTTAAGAAAATACTGTTAAAGGCTGAAAATCAAACAAAAAATGATATTTTTAAATAAATCTACGAGCTTGGTACATGAAAACGTGTTAAATCAGTAAAACTGTTATTCTTGTGGTAAAACAGAGTTCTCTGGTTCTTTTCACACTGTATATTCAGAGTTATTGAGGTTATAAGGTTAGTTTTTCAGGTTATTACAGGAATGAATGAGAGAGCCCGCTTTTATTTAAATGTAGCAATTTTTTTTTGATAGAAATCTTAATGAGAAACATAATTTTTCTGCGATCAACTAGAAAATATATTCTTTCACTCCCTTCTGTTAAAGTTTCCACAACATTAGTAGCAGCTTGGATTTTCATAGTGAGTTCCCCCCAGTGAGTTGGAACAATAACGAAAAATTATCAAAACCCCTGACCAAACACTGGAAGTAAACCAAGAAATTGCGCTAAAGGTAGACAACTCATAATGACACTCTTGTAGTACAAGCTGCCACCGCTTTTAATAGGTTCTGTCATAAAAAATGAGGGTACTCCGTACTCCCGTAGTATGTGTAATAGTAAGATGGCAAAACCTGAACATAGTATGTGTACCAGGTAAGGTTAGCCCATAATTTTATTCCAATTTTGTTTTATTTTAGTTTTATTCAAGTTCGGGGAATAGCTCAAGTGGTATTTGAACCTGAAATTATGGCCTAACTCTAACCTGATACACACACTACGTTCTAGTGTCCGCCATCTTGTTGCACATACTATGGGAGTACCCTCATTTTTTATGACAGAACCTATTGAAAGCGGTGGCAGCTTGTCTAAAGCCTTGTACAAAGAATATGTGTGAAACAGCATGAATTAGCATAAACAACTAGAGATTGTTTTCAACTTTTGCTTTTGTAACACTGTAAATGTTGTTTATGAAATGTAACTTTTTACGTCACACTTACATGGCTCGCCAATCTAGGTGGGCAAAATTTGGCCACCCCTGATCTACACTAAAGATTCATATCTGTGAAACAGTAACTGCTTTGCTAGAGCTGTATTCAAATTAAGGATGCAAAAAATAAAAACAACTATGAGACGACTAACTTTATGTTTGATGTCTCTTGTAGCCATCGGACTTTCTTCTTCCTCATGATATTCGGACTGGTGATCAATAGTTGATTCATGAGGCATCTAGAAAAGTTTGAAATATGGATGGTCGAAATTGAAAAATATTTCTAATTCAAAAATGTTTTGAATACAGATTATTTTCTAATTGAATTATGTTCAGCAGACAAATCTAAATAAACCATTGAATTTGGTAAATCCGGGCAGTTTTGATACCGATGTTCAGTCGACGCGATTTTTATATGTAACATTACTACACAGTCAAAAGTTGAACAATTTCCAATTCTGAAATTCTCAACTATAAAATACCAAATGTATTCTAAATTGGATCATATTTAATAAAAAAATTTGTGAAAATCATAGTGATTTGATAAAAAAATTTATTTTGAATAGTTTAGACCAGTGGTTCCTAAACTTGAGTTGGGACCCTTTATTTATTACCACAGCTTATGGCGACCCATTTTTAATAAATTAATAAAATCTAAATTTCGGGGAAACACGGTAAGAAGTGCTGTACAGTGTACAAAACTGCTATGCATAAAAAAGCCACATGGTCATTCTTTGTGTAGCAAATTTTTGTTCTTTTGAGAAGATCGTAAAAAGGAAACTTTCACAGATTAGAATTTAAATTATATTCAATTTTTTTTTGTTTTTTTGAAGATTTACGTATTCGAGTCGCTACCGATCTGAATAACCAGTATAAATAATCAAAGCTTTCTACATCTTTTCACGACCACCTAAGATTTCTTTTGCGACCCATAGTTTGGGAACCGCTGGTTTAGACAGTAATGCTTTAATTGATTTTCTATTTTCACAAAGTCAGATGTTGACTAAAAATTATCGTTTGTTGGAACATAAGATTACAAATGCACAAAATGATTTCTAAGATGATGATCTATGCTAAAGATTCTCACTGTATTCCCTATATATGAAAATCTACCCGACTAAAAACAATGAAAAATACTCACCAAGATAGCAGGGGCTCGGAAGAAATAACAAAATGGATAATGGAACAAATTGATGAATGATGAGGCATAGAGATCTGCATAGCGGGTCATCTGTAAAGAAAAGCCCTATATTAGTACAAATACCTGCGTGGAATCGTAGGCCGCACCTTAATTTAACATAGGCTCTGTAGTAGTTGCAGGCACAAAATATTAGTTATTGATTTTATGATATGTGTTGCTCGCTTCGTACATGCTAGCTGTTAGGGCAGGGGTGTGCAACAGGCGGCCCGCGGGCCACAACCCGGCCCGCCAAGACAATAAGTGTGGCCCTTGTCAACACTCAGATATTTTCCCACTAAGCATCAAATTCTAACCTGACTGTTTATGTTTAAAAAAGCGCACACACGGGTTAAAATCCATAATTTTAAGTCTTTCGTCTTTTTGCCTTTATTACTGTAAGACTAAGCTATAGCCTTTTTGTGTTGAGAATTTTTTAATTCATTATGTACCCGAGAGATATTGAATTTTTTTAATTGCCCGGCTAGATGTCAGAAGTTGGTTATATGGCCCGCCGACAAAAAATGTTGCACACTCCTGTGTTAGGGCATTGCAATGCCATGGGCATTGATAGAAAAAATTGGACTCTGGTATAGACTTGGAACTTGCGCGTAATAGATTGAACTAAATTAAAAACTCGCTTCGCAGGCCGCACATTTTTGATGATTTGTAAAATGTAAGGCTTACAGCAGAATTAGAGATAAGTGGACTCTCTTTTTGGTCATACTGATGGTACAACGAGAATATCGGTCGGAGACCGAAGAATTATCGATCGAAACTGTGGTTTCGATTCATGACTCTATAGTGACACCGCGTGTCCCGTCACTAATTAATTAATAACTCGCTTATTATACGACATAATTCATCAAAAATCAATAGGCTTCTGGTCTGAGATATGATGAATGCACATGGATTTGGAGCAAATTCAACCACGCCTTCATGAGGTATCGCGTGTATCTAACAGACAGACAAATACCTATCAACATACTTACCGATCTTAAGATCGATAAGTAATTATGTAAGGGTGCTACTATTTTCTGGGATGACCAAAATTTCCAGTTCAGCATTGTCTTTCATGCCTATATCTAAATTGATGTATCATAATTAATACCAAATGAATATTTGGACAAAAATGTGGGCTTCATTGACCAGATTCAATAATCATGGATGCCCCACTGTCTAGGATCGTGGATGTTCCTTTTGAACATTTCTTACTTACGATCAAAGCCACCCAATTGCCGGCGCTTCAGGAGGATGTGTACCAATATGGAGGTAATTAATTTCGTTCGGCTACTTTACATCAAGTTGTGTAAAGGGACTGAATCCTATGGGCAGCGGGTATATTCACTTGGCTAACACAGGCAGTTCTGAACTCGTAATAGAACTAAAATAAGGTACACATAGTACGAAAGTACGCAACTGCCTACATCCTCAAGATTATAACAAAATACCAGTGGATAGTTCAGAAAGTATGAAAGAGCACAACAGACCTGACTTGCAAAGAACGTTTGCCTTGATCCACTTCTGAATAAACTTCCAAATATACCGTACGACATGTCCAACTCATGAACTACTTTCTTAACCTGTTCCTGGAGAACTTGGATATTCGGTATTTCATGAGATGCACTATCAAGATTTCTGTAGAAATAAAAACAACTTTTAGTATATCATTGAAAACATTTTGTCTGGGTTACCCAAATTAAAATGTTTTAATTACACCAATTTAAAAGCAATATATGGGAAGTTTACTTTCAAATTTTAGCAAAAGGATTCTATCCTCTAATTTTAAGTATGTTCATATCATTTTATTCCCCCTTTACACAATCTGTCCCTTCCTCCCCCTCCCCCATAACAAAAAAAAGGCTTTGTCTTATTATGCCTTTCGAATCATGGAACATTGTATAAATTTAAATTGGTGATAAAGGTATTCACAAAGAAAAACCAGTATTTTTGAAAAGACCAAAATCTCGCCATTTGCACTCATCTCAGTAATACTCCATACCTCCAAAAATATCTAAAGAAAAACAAACGCCACAAACCTGTATTTCTCAACAATTTGAGCATCAAGATCAGTCAGTCTATCGTAATAATCTTTCTTTTTCAACCAAACATTCGTTTCTTGTGACATTTCTGGTATGACAAGGAATGTCCTCCAGCCTCTGCGTTTCTTGGATTTCAAGATATCACCGAAGATATGATCGCCTGAAATGAAACATTATTATGATAGGATTATTTTATTTATCCCAGAGAGGAAGATGAAAAGGCATCAATTATATTATAACAAACCTCAGATTACGGGTCAATGTCAAGTACGGGAGTGGTATTTCAATGAGCAAAATTTGTTAGAATCTCCGTAGTGATAATCAATTAAGTCTAAAGTTCTACAGCGAAAAAAACGTTTTTAACAGTCTATTGAGGAAACTTGTATACGCCAAGGTTTTTGTTCTCAAAATTTTATTCAGTTGAAGCCTGGAGTCGGAGCCGAATAAAAACCAGGAGTCCGAAGTAAATATTATTTTTAACTCAAAGTTGAGTTTGAAGTCAAAAATGTTTTGTAAATATGTTATCGGGAGCCAATTTTTCCCAGACTCAACAGCCCTGTTAATCAAAATCTGAAAACGCAAAATTTCCTCACCAATATACAAAATTTCTTTTCCTTTTGCACCGATAAGATCACAGATAGCATCTGATGATCCTCCAGAATATATTGTTCCTTCTTCATGTGATCCTGTGTAACTTCCAAGACATAGCTTGCCAGTTTTCTGAGGAAATTAAAACAATTACTGAATCATTTGAAGAATTATTTGTTAAAAAAGAAAATCAATCAAAACATTACTGTCTATTTTTGTTTAAAGAAATTTTCTTGAAGCTAGGTAAAGAAGATTGAGCAAAGTTTCGGGCGACAACTAACATGCCAGGAGCTACTGAGACTATATAGAATTAAAGTGTAAAATTATGAGTTTGCCAGATTTCTGAGAAAATGAATTATTATCAAATTTATACCTGATACCCTCATAATATCTGATTTTTTTTTATAGGAAATTCACCAAAAGAAAGGCCACACGCATCTCTTAGAAATAAAGAAGATCGATCATTGAGCAAAGTTAAAGGCGACCACCAGTAATGTTTCAATAGCTAATGAGACTAAAATAGATTAAAGCGCAGAATTATAAGTTACTAAATACCGATTGGCACGAGACTTTAAGCAGCACACATAAACGCCAGCAAATTGACCAGTAAGGTTCGAATTTGAATTTGATCAATAACTAATCTTTATCCTTGCACTATACAGATTCGCCGGTGCAAAAGTATAAGAATAATTAGTTGGTCCCACAGAAACCCAACCATGGCATAATATTTATAGGACTTTGATAGGATAGGAGTCAGAGCTTATAACCTTGCTTTGAAAAAAATAATCCAATTGATATTTCATTTTACCTGATCAACTTGTCTTAGAACTGTTCCTTCTGCGAAAAACTTTGGTTTACGAGCTTCACAGAGGATGAGATCGAAGTACGTGACCCATGACCTATGAGGTGTTCCAGGCTGAATAAAAATCAGAAAAAGGTCACACAACCTATTTTGAATCTAACTTCAGTAAAAAATCCAGTAAAAAAAACAGCAAAATAAATGGTAAATTGACTACAAAAACAGACTGAGAAATGTATAATCGACAGTCTCAAGCACTGAAGTGCACAGCGTGCTTTGCAGGGTCAAACGTAGCCCACTGAAAGTTTCAAAATCCCATGCAGAAACTAAGTTTATATGTTGTTTTAATTTTAACCTCTGGGTTTCATTGTTGAGTAAACAAAGCGCAACTTGAGTTTATGCTGTAATAATACTTGCAGAAATCTCACTCAAGCGTGGCAAGATGCAGAATGTTGTGTGATTAAGACAATGTGATCCACAATTTGAGTTTAGATAAAATATTAACCAATATGCATGTTTAAGTTGCACATATTCGCTTTAGCAGAGTAGATACAAACATTGCATACATGAGTTGCCAAAGATGATTTTTTTTTGATGAACAAAACTTTTTGTCGGGCGATAACACCATTGCTTCGAGCAAGGCTCTGGATAAGCATGAAAAGAGCTACATGTCTTAAACGAACTGAGATTGTTATGTTTAATTAAAGCTTATTTAATACAGTGGTGCCAAAAAACTTTGCCCGATAGTAATAACAATTATTTAAATAACAAAAGTTTGAATACATTTAATTTTATGATAAATGAGACTATAAGCATATAATAACAAATAACTAATAATAAACAAATACAAAGAATTTTTTAATTGTATTTATTATAAAATCTGGCAAAATTTTTTGGACTCAAATTTCTTGTAACATTGAATTCTGGATGAGGTTGTGAGTCTCTGGGTTTGAGCCAGAGACTTGAGATTAGCAAGTAATGACAATTGACATTAATGATATTTGTAAATAATAAGCAAACTACATATTGAATTAAACATCAAACTATGATTTAACACAAAGAATTACTACAATAAAATGAAGGATCTACAATAGATTTCTTGAGTCGCCATTTTCAGAATAAATTAGAATTCTCATGTTCAGAGGTGAACCACAGACCCATTCAGTTACCAGCCCATGTCGAATATAAAAATAGTTAACAGTTAGGATAGGATTTACATATTTATCTTGGAGAAGTGGGAAGCCGTTAAGACGGTTTAACCATATGGCGAACCACGGCCTCTCGTCCAGTTACCATTTCATGTCGGGTATGGGATTAGTTAGTTATTTGTTTTAGGACGCATGGGCTTGATGGAAGGAGAAAGCCGTAACCGGCCAGCGGGTACGTGAACCACTCATCAGCGGCGAAGACTCCAGCAATCCTCTTGCACATAACTATCCCCGCATGGGGTTCGAACCTGCAATTTCATGCAGGGTAATCAGAGGTGCGGTGGCGAGCGTATTTCTAATGCTTAGTCTGATTCGCCAGACTGGCGAGTTCCACATGCATGGACTTGATGGTGGATGAAGCTTTAACCAAATAGCGGAGCCTGGGACCCTCTATAACTCTATTCAGCAATTCTCTCGGACATTATTTTCATATGCAAAGTCGTGAAAGGTAATCAGTGTAAAACGGCGAGCATGTTTTTGGCGCTCAATGAGCTAATCATTAAGTTTTTAGGTAAAACTAATCTATATTTGCCATTTTAATAAATCTATAATTAAAATGAAGAAACAAACAATTGTTACTGTTACCTTGTTACTCTGCTAGATCAATATGAAGCCACAGCACACAGGTGAAGGATCAAAGGTCAAATGAAAAACAAAGCAGGAAGTGAGTTAACAAACAGCTAGTGAAGTGATAGGGTGGGAGCATAATATGATTTTCCTTGGAGAGAGGAAAGCTGATAAAACAGCTCAAACAACATGGTAGACCACATAGACACTAAAATATAAGGGATGGGGATGACCTACCTACTTCGAAACCCAATGCAAATAATTTCTTTTATAAATACCGATCGAAATGACATGAAAAAGCACAACAAACTACACTAACAATGCTTGTTTAAAGAAATTAATGACTTAATGGGACATAGCAAATCAAAGTTTAATAATGACGCCATTTTGGTCTAAAAAATCATATTCAGAAAATTATAGGTTTGGAGATTTCACAGCATCTAACTATGACAACGAAAGCTGCAGAATTAAACAGATTTTTTTAATTTGTCCAAAGCAAGGGAATGGCAAATTTAGGCACTTTGGTTCAAAGTTAAACACTGAAATTCAAAAATGCACATTTAAAGTTTGCATTGAAGTTTATCATAACATGACTCATATTCTTATGCTGAAGCAAATAATCAACATTACGTGATTAATGGCGCAAATGATGAATAATGCCAGTGTTGCAAGAAGAGCATGTTTTGAATGAAGAAATTTCTAAAATCAAGCTTTGCTAATTTGGATAAGATTTAATATTTATCGCACATGGGAGGAAACCAGTTGAGAAGACTAAATCATAGGGCGAACCACAGTACAGGGGGATATGGCTATATTTGACCAGTCAATCATTCAACTTGTATGAAGTACATTCATTAATTATCACAAATTTTCAAAAAATTTAAATGTAACATGATATGCTCATCAGTGTGCGGCAACACTCTTGAATTATAGACATTCGGACCCCCAGCAATACGCCATAGAGCATAAAGTTCATCGTACAGTGCCCCAGAACTCCATGAGAGAGACCGTTGGCTAATTTTGTAACTAATCCTAAAAGAAGTATTAACAACAGCCAACCTCCTCATGGGCAACATAACACCAAAAGTTTGAGAACCCCTGTCATGGAGGATGGGTTGGTCCCACAGAAACCCAAATGATAGCAATTTCAATTCGTGTTGGAAAAAGTCATGGGTATTTAGAGCCTAGAGTCAGTCACTGAGACAAATCTCACTAGACGACTTTGGCCACTCCGAGTCTTTGATAAATGGTGACTTAAGTTGAGGAAATAATTTTCCCAACACTGCCAATAACTTTTAGTCTTCTTTATGAATAATTTTTGAAAAACCGCACCAGCGAATCAAAACCCTACTAGCAAGTCAGTTCTATTATCTTCTTTCACATAAATTTCAATAAAAAGCAATAGCCTACGTAAATCAGTGCAACTTGACAAATCAAAACACAAGCGACAATAAACTTTAAAAAATTCACAGCATGAAAACAAAGCACAAAAAACTAGTAATTACTAACAAAATACCAACCTCGGGTCCATGAGGAAAATCAAACAAGTATTCCATGATTTTCTGAACAAAAAGTAATTGAGATTTTAACAATAAATATTGAAAAATTCCAAAAGCAAATCTAGCGGAATACGAATAATCTATTACAAAGCTTCCAAAACTTTTAAGACGCTTCGAATATTTAAGTTTCCCGCTGCCCCTGTGAAGTCGGCATTTTTATGCAAGTGCATCACTTCTCTGCTCATATGTAATGTCTTGAAATCGTGAGATTTATGTTTGGCAATAATTTTAATATTTGTGTTTCGAATCTAGAGTCCAAAACAATAAAATGGATTTTGTACTTTTTGTGAAATTGGTATACCCTTTGCGGCGCCCCAAAATCTGTTGCGGGGTCGCAACCCCCAGTTTGGTAAGTCCTGATCTAGTATACCCAGATTAGAACATCAGACCTAACTATATCGAATTCACAGACTAAAATCTTGTGTTACAAGCACATTGTGGTTAGTAACGGTCTCTAGGTAGTGGTGTATGATCTTGGAATGGTCATAATTATTACTCCAAATTGATTGATAAATCTTTTAGCTTTTACTGAGACCAGGTATTTATACCATGTTTATACTACGCTTTATGACTGACAAAAACTCTTTCACTTTAGGAAATTTGACCACATTACTGTGTAGAAGAGCAAAATGAATAGCAATTCTAAGTGTTTTTGTGACTTATTGATAACAAAACAAGCCTGTAAGTGCCCAGGATCTCAGCTGATAGTTGAGGCCCTCACACAGGCGACCGGTTACCATCTATAGAAACTTGCGCATGTAAAACAGCAGCGTTGTTAAGTATGCGGGCCACCGAAACTACCAGTTCAATTTAAGCTCTGCTCATTACGTGGATGTTCACGCGTGAGTGATATACTGAAGCTAATAATCGAAATAATGTTCACTAAAATCCCTAAGGCTTCCCCAATTTATGGCCTATCGAGATGAAGGATGGCTTGTTCGAAAGAGTAGTTTATTCCTCAGGGGGTCGCGTTCCCGGAATTTTACTTTTGCTCACGGTATGTAAGATAATGAATATTGTTCATAAAATGTAACTTTTTACGTCACACTCACATGACCCGCCAGTCTAGATGGGCAAAACTTTTGGCCCCTTGTTTGAAATCCTTGCCCATTCTTGCTCTAAGATCTACTTACATTAGTATAATTATAATCGCTGTTAGTAATCAGCAACACTTTTCCGTGTTCTCTCATTCTGTCAAGCAGCAATGGTAGTTTAGGTTCTTTGACGACGTATCGATCAATGTCTTCAAGAGTTTTGTCTTTGAGGCTTCCCTGAATGAGATTTTTAAATGACTATATTATTCTAGGATATATTATTTTAAATAATTCCCAAAAGAATTGCTGTCTGTGAATGCTATTGTTTCATATATTCTGGCATTTTAACTACAAACATGCAATCGCTTAAATTGTGGAATATTTTTGCATGACTTATGGGCGCTCCTGAAGTATGAGTACCAATATGGAGGTAACTAATTTTGTTCGCCCAATTTACATCAAGTTGTGTAAAGGCAATGAAACCTATGGGTAGGGTCTGCCCAGACCTGAGTAGAGGGATATGCACTTGGCACATTCTGACAGTCCCCAAGCTCCTAATAGAACTGAAACAAGAAAAATTGGAATAAAATTATGACCCAACCCTAACCTGGTACGAATATTGCAGAGTACCGACTTATGTAGAGATGAGCGTTATTTGCTGTTATATTTTGCCTTGATCCACAAAGTGAAACTGGAGATGAAAGAGTGATCTATTGAGAACCCCCAAATACCAGTTAAGATTGTAGCTGCTTATCAAAACAGCCCAGGGGCATAGCTGGAAATTTTCAAGAGGGGGGGGGTTCGAAATTTCAAATTGCCAAGTTAGACAAGAACAGCTAGTGCAGGGTGGTCCAGGCCCGCGGGCCACATGTGGCCCGCCGCTTCATTATCTTCGGTCCGCGTCACATTCGGAGAGTAATCGATAAATCGCATTTCGTGTTGTTTCGTAATCAAATTTATCCGAAAAATCTTTTGACATATTGTTGGATCAATAATGTCACTGAATTGACTAGTCTTATGGCTAGCAGAGGCAACTAGCGAAGTTGAATGACGTGCTTGGCAGTCTAAATTATTATCTGGCTTTCTATCTTTTCGGTCGGAAATATATGCTAACAATATAGGCATCATAGGAAACTAAAAATCGAATGCGGATTCTATTAGTCTGGAATGGCTATGTCTGATAACTACATTATTTTCTCGGGCTATGTCTGATAACTACGTTATGTGTTTGCATAATAAAAGTGTTCATTTTGTATTGCACTGTTTACCTATTCTTGGCACTATTGTGGTCCGCAAACAATGAAAAAATAAATTTGTGGCCAGCGGAGCAGACAACCTTGGACCACCCTGAGCTAGTGTGCCCGGAAAATGGGTTCCAAGAGTCTTGAGGGCCTAAAAAGCGATTCAAGTTACGAAACATTGATGTTCATGATACAGAAAAAGGCTTTTTATTTCAAAAGAGGGGGAAGGTTTGAGCCGCAACCCCCTCCCCCCTGGGTACACTCCTGAAACAGTCAGCCATATTTAATAGAAGTTGAAGATAGTTATCATGATTGTTGGAAATACAAAATCCATTTAAAATGCCACACTGACCTTCATATGCACATAGTCAACTGCATTTCTGATGTCTGAATGTATGTTGGCATAAGTCATTCTCAAATTATCTTTTTCAATTCCACTCATTTTCTGTAGAAAAAATCATTCATATAGGTGAATTGATAAAAGAGAGTTACAACTGTTACAACAGAATTGAGTTGAACTGATCGAAAAATTTTTTTATTCATTTTGACCAGATAAATCAAAACGATGTTTGCTGTGCTATTTTCATTTGTATTTATTCATTCATTTGTTTTGGTTTCTGATATGTACCTTGGCATCTGAAGTAATAAATGAATTGAATTGAATAACAGGTTGATTTATTTTTAGGTGTCGCTGACACGCTAACTATGTAGTTTATTCACGGCATCTATTGCAGTCGAATTATTGTACGTTTTTTATTTTTTTCTCAATTTATATATTTTTACTGTTTATTTTTCATGCACAGCAAAAAAAAGTTTTTCGGAATGAGCTGCATTGAGAATTTTTTTTCTGCAAAGGCCACGTTGAGAAAATTACTTAACTTTTTCAAATGTATCATAAGCTTACCATCAAATAAAATTCAATAGCAAAATATCCAAAATTAAAGACATTGTTTCAAACCAGCGATGAGAAAACATTATTATTTCAACAATAAAGCTTAAAAATAAATTCAAATTTTGTATAAAAAATTTCTCTAAGAACAGTAGGGCTTCATGTGGCCCATGGGTTAGGGTAGTTTGCCCAGCCCTGCCTTGACCAATCGCAAATCATTGACTCCTATACAACATAATGACCTCTTACCACCACATATCCAGCAGCAGTACTGAAATAGTTAACAACGCAGGCGTATAGATAAATTTCAGGTAGATTGAACAAGGTGTTATAGATAAAATATCTTTCTGTGTCGTCCATGCTTATGAACTTATTCGGATAAAGGTTGATGATTTCCGGTCTGTGAAATAAAAAAGTTGAAATTTAGGATTTGTATTTGTATTGAAGGTATGGAGTGGTAGTTTCCATTGAAGTTGGTCCACAACTCTGAATGAGACAAAAAAGTGGGTCGAATAAGCAATGCAGCAGCAGTGGCAGTTTGGAATGTTATGGAGTTGAAATTTATCATAACCCTACACTGGTGTCAAAAGTTCGAGACTTTATAAACTGAATCAAGAGTCATAGCAAATTGAATATAATAATAGTAATTTGTCATTGAGGCATAAGGTCAACATGCCTCCTGAATATTTTGGTGGGCTTTTCCAGTTTGACCAGTTTGAGTTTATAAAAGCCAAAGAAAGATTTAAAGAGTTTCACTTTAAAGTATTTATTAAACACAATTAATGTTAATCAATATTTATTAAAACTTTAATAAATGTATTTTATTGATTATCACTAGTGTATGACTGCTGAGTTTATTAAGTAATTAAAACAAGTAGTGCATAGTACATGTTGAAGATAAATTACCACCAAGGAATTTCCTGCACATGTCTATATATAAATGATTGTCAATGATTGACATAGCATGCGGCTTATGATATATAAAGTAAGTCAAAAGGTGGTCGACACGAGATTTGAACCATAAATTTAAATTCGCGATGACAACGTCGTTGAGTTCAATGCATCACATGTTATTACCATCATGTTGATTTATTCGAACTCATAGACTAAGGCTGTAATCAATTGGGTAGGCAATAACAAACATGAAATTTACTGGCGTTTCAGAAATATTAGCTCCTCATATATCAGTGGCTACACTGCCTTGTTCAGAATGAAATGCACCATTTAAAAACCGTCACAATATATATAAGATTTAGGATCTTAATTATTTTTCAAAATGCATTTTGAATAGCAAACCGTCTAGCTAGGTAATACAACTTTCTCTGCCAATTTACCTTGGAAACGAAATAAAAAAAACTTACGCTTTAAGAAATTGAAATCCATGAGCACAGACCATAATGTTGCCGTATGGATCAATCTGAAAAAATAAAATAAAATTATTTGATAATATACAGGGCATTTCGAGATATAGGACTTACAATTTACCAAAGTATGACAGGAATATCATAATATAGTAATTACCTTGGACAGTAATATGACTACCTCTAGTATTTAAAAATTATTACGAAAAACTATCCGAATTGGCTTAATCAATCACAATTTATAGATTTAAAGGAAATTACTTGAACAACAGGAAATGAAGAAGCTTCGGTGACACGTTGATGCATAGACCCTGATCTCATTTGTCAAATCCATCAATTAACGTCTCCCTTTTTACGCATAGCAATAAGTAGGTAATCTATATACACTAACAAATTCTAGTGACAAGGCAGGGAAAATTTTACCGTCTAATTCAACTTTGGTGCCTTATAATTTTTTTGGTTTAGTTCTACTGCTTATGACTTTTTTATGATTCTTTTCTAGGTATTACATGTAAATATTTTGTCTTGAAAATGCTATGGGATGAAATTAAAATGCCACATATGCATACAAATGAAATGTTGGAGATGGGTAACACTAGAGTGATTCCAACATCAGACAGCCCTATTTCTTCATTCTACAGTTATTAAAAGCAATTTCAAAATTTCAAAATTCTAAACAAAACTCAATAGCCAAAACTGAGAAAAATATCAAATGTATATTTATTCTATATATAAAACTGTAGAGCCAAACAAAGTATTATAACCTTACCAATAGTTACCTACCTCTGTGGTGTGGTTAAGGTCATGTATTCATGGCCAGGGATTGGACGATGATAACCTACAACCCCATCTGCAAAGATGTATGGTTGGTAACCATAGTAACGATACACAAAAACAAATATTTCTAAAATCTTATTGTGAGCCAAATAGAATAAAAGAAATTCTGGAGAGACTAGCATTCAGATATTAATAAGAACATAGAAGGTTTGCAAGCATTACTATCTTGAGATATAAGTGTAGACTGATTCATCTAATTAATTATTCAATTTGTTTTCTCATTAACAACACATCATACTGAAGTGAGTGAAGTCTAAATTCATATGTGAGGTCACTTGGAAAAGTTCTACATTTTAAATAGGCGTACATCTACATTAGAATTTTGTATAGATCAAAGTTATATATAACTACATCTAGTGGTTGCTTGTCAAGTTCTACAGTAAAAATAATAAACAATTGAATCATGTGAAAGATATCGCACCAAACTTTCTAAAAATGAAAGCTAAATCTTTAATATCGAATCTTAAAGGTCTTACAATAATTATCTTGGTAAATTCGTAAAGTAAATTTTGTACAGACTGAAGTTTTTATGTTTACTGGTCAATTAGTGAGGATTTACATTGAAATAATAAACAATTTGATTTTGTGTCGCAAAACACTCTTAAAAATATTAAAAGCTAGAATTTCACACTGGATTTTATTAAATACATAATTTATCTCAAGCATACAAAGTGAATCTTGTACAAGACTCAATATTTCGCGATTCAATCATACGAAGTTAAACAACCCTAATTAAAAAGCTAAATCTTTGTTTGGATTTTCTAAAATGTACAATTTCACGCACAAAAAGTATAATGAGTCAGTTAACTTTGTCTTTGCAGGGCTACTGGTATTCAAAACTAGAGTAATAACAGTCTTATGATTCATTAAAACATGTTCTCATCTTCTTGGTGTGTGATTGAGCTCTATGACTCATATAATGTTTTCAGTTTATTTAGGATTTGATAAAACAAGATTTTGCAAAATTGCAGCAGTACTTTGTTCTGAAAATTTATTGCTTTAAAAAATCATAAAATAAGAAAAAGTCAGTGAGTTACTCTGACTCATTCAATGCTTACATGTTTATATGAGCTTTGAAATTTACCAAACAAGACATTTTCAGACTTTAAATTCAGGCTTTGGTCAAAATGGTTCTTGTTACTTATACAATTTTGCAAAAATAAAAAAGTCAATATGTCATTATCTACTCTGACTGATACCATGTTTACATATTTAGTTTAAATTTTTACAAGATTTTGCAACATTTTTGCAAATCATAACTGCAGAATTTAAAAACATCTGGGCTTCAGTCAAAAACAATATTGAAAAAACTTTTTTTTCCAATAGAATGAAAATTGCAACTTTGGTGTGAACATTTCAATAATTTGATATAATCTATAGTCCAATAAAAAATCTACCATTCCAAATAGGGAATAAAGTTACTTTTTCAAATACTAAATAACAAATGATCATTTTTAAATTTCTAATATCTTTATGTGATGTTATATAATCCTGAGATAACTTGTCATAGTTTCATAAGCATTGCATCTATTGCAGTTGATTTTGCAGAGTGGTCACGTTTCATTTATGACAATCACATTATTGATCATCATAACGAACTCAGGGACGCCATCAACTCCTTTCGATAATTATTATAAATGAAACACTGTTTGTCAAGATAAATTTAATTTACTAAGTAGCGTTTTCAGAGAATTGGCTAAGATTAATATTTTAAAAAATTGCTGGATTGGTGTTTGCATAAATATATTTTTTAAAATATTGCTTGTCCAACAATGAAGAAAATTAAGGTAGGTAGGCCTACTCCCGTAGTATGTATATGAGGTTAGGTTTAGGCAACAATTTTATTCTGATTTTTTTTATTTTAGTTCTATTACGACTTACGAGTTCGGGGACTGTTTGTGTTAGCCAATTGAATACCCCTGCCCGTAGGTTCCGGTCCCTTTACACAACTCCATGTAAAATAGGCGAACAAAATAAAAAGCTTATAATATTAATATTCCAAGTTTAATTGAAAATATCTCTTGGGAAGGATTTGTATGCCTACCAGTAATTATAATTTAACTAAAAAACATTTTAGAGATCCATTTAAAACTGAACCAATTAAATTGAATTCAAGAAGTAGTTCAGAAGTAGCCTACCAGGTTAGATTTAGACCATAATTTTATTCCAATTTTCCGTATTTTAGTCCTATTACGAGTTCAAGGACTAGCCAATTGACTCTTGTAGCATTTGTACCTGAAATCATGGCCTAACCCTAACCCGGTACACAAACTACGTCCCAGTGTCCGCCATCTTGGTTCACATACTACAGGAGTACCAATTAATTAAAGTAAATGTAAGAACCAGCATATGGTGAAGTAAAAGTGTAAAATTAAGAAGCTTAAAATATTCATGATTGACAGGTATGAAGGGGAAGGAAGAGAGGATATTGACTGCATTATTGATTTTAGCTATGAATTGGGATTAACATGAACATGCTGTGAAAATATACTAATATATCTGCAAGCTTTTTGATTTGATTAATGTGACATTTCTTTAGGTCAGTGTTTATATAATTTGTTCAAATGAAATTCTGATTTTTTTTTTAAGAAGATTTGGTATTTTTCAAATAAAAATTATGCTTTTGTTCTTATTTCACTCTCGAAAAACTGCATAAAATGGCAGAAAATATCGATATTTAAGATCATATTATATTATGTCGTACGTTCAGTATGATCATATTTCAAAAGTCAGGCTCATAGTACTAAAAACTATTTTTAATTTTAAGAATTGAGATATTTCTTAATAAATACTTTTTTAATTTGCTGACCTTGCGCTTTAAGTCATTCTCAATGTCAAATACTAGAAAATAGTTTCATTAGGAAAATTTTAAATCTCAATTAATTAAACGATAGATGTCTTGAATACCAACTATTCGTGACAGAACTTAGCGGCATCATCAAAATTACATTACAATAAGAAATAAAATTATAAAGTGGAAAAGACTAAGAAACAATATCAAAGTAACATGTTATAACATTCAACATGACGGCAATCAGATACGTAGCCTACATAAATAAATGAACAACACACAATTCAAAAACTCATGGCTACCATCAGTATAAATATAAGTGAGGAAATAATAAATGGATAAAGTTCATAAATCAATATTAAAAATGAATGAGTCACAATTAGCAACATGACTGAATCCAACAAAATAAATTAACATATATTCCAAGGATTATGCAACATGACAGCAATCAAATAATATGGTCTTGGACATAAATAAATGATGAACATGCACTTTAAAAACCAATGCCTACTTTTAAGATAAATATAAGTGAGGGAATATAAAATAAAAAAGTTCATAAAACAGTATTAAAAATTAATATAGTACTTAGAAACTGCATCCAACATATATAAACATACAATCCAAGGATTTCTACCCACCTTCAGAAAGTTCCCATATTGTGTGTCAAGAACGAGCCCACGTACAACGAAGTTGGGATCATATACACATTCCTTCAATTCTGCTGGGTATCCACATTCTACGAGTCTGTGAATGAAATCAAACAGTTCAATGATAATTTTTAATTAAGCAGGTAATGGATTGTCTCGCTAAATTGTTTATGTTAGGATTGTTGTACTATTGTTGGGATGATAATATATATATTTTTTGAAAATACTGATGGGAAAACAATGCCAAGCTAACACAAAATATCTCACCTATCTCTCGCCAAATCAAATACCAATGCTTCATACTGAGGTGATTTATACCGTTTCAGAGCCATTTTAAGGGGGTCGGGTCGGCTTATGCGTAAGATCAGCTTTTATGCGAGGATATTCTGTAAGCTATCTGAGAAGTCTGATTATATAGAGATGAAGCTGAATTCTTTTGAACTTGAAACGGTAATAAATTTTGTGCTTGCTAAATATTTTCTAAAAATTGCTGAAAAAAAAATAAAATCCCAAGCTAACACAAAATATCAAGTCTGTGCTTCTGAAAACAAATACCTGGCTAACTAATCCCCTACCTGAAATGGACTAGTGACCAGACAAGAGGCCGTGGTTCGCCATATGATTAAGCCATGTAATCATCATCCCTCTTCCCCGAGATAAGTATGTATATCCTATCTTACCTGTCTCTTGCCAAATCAAATCCCAATGCTTCATATTGTGGTGACTTATACACAGCAAGAGTGTAATCCATGTCAAACCCGAAGAACTTGATTTTTCCGAGGTTCAAACTTCGATTCACAAACACCCTGGAAATAGTGATTATACAATATTTTGATGGAGTGAAATTTAAAGTATTGTAAATAAATGTATTGTCTGAAAATAATCTTTTGATGAAAGGCATTTGTTGGTGCTTAATATGCCGCAATAAATTTAGAAAGTTTCAGTAACTCTCAGCGTTTCTGTGGTTGCCAATTACTTTGCTCACGGATGAGTCTCTTGTATTTCTGAGAGTGTGCACACGACCTGGCTTTCGCCATATAAACTATGTCAAATCATTATGTCAATTGGTCAACTTTCGCTAATGAAAAGGAAGTTCAGATGATTTCGGACAGATGACGTGATGTCAACTTTCAATAAGTGAGTCCAACGCCAGTAGCTGGCATATCATCTTACTGCAGCTCAATCTACCTATGTAGCGTGATGGGACCTCAGCAAGTGGATTCAAGGATTCCTATCAATAACAGAGTAGGATATAAAGTAGACCTAACAGAGAGGCAAAATACTCGTGAATTTAATCAATATACCTGTTTGTTGGATCCCGTTTATAAGCTCGAGACTCTTGTCTGCTCATCATGTATTCTTCTTCTGTATAACCATTGCTGAAGCTTTGATTCTCCTTCATAGCAGTTCCGTTCCCATTGCCGTTTGGCACACTGGACTTTAAAAGTGCTGTTTCACCATCCTGTACAAATATACTTATTATGGCCTGATACACAAATCTGCTCCAAATAAGGGTCTACATAAGCAACCCACTTACTCGATATGATTTATTTTGAAAATTAGAACACGCAAAACATAGACTCAGGATGGAAATTCATGAATGTTTCCAAAACTTCAAATGGGGTGTAAACATGAAACATAACTGGGCGCTTCAGAAGTGTGTGTACCAATGTGGAAGTAACTAATTTTGCTGCCTACTTTACATCAAGTTGTGTAAAGGGACTGAAGCCTATGGACAGGGGGTATATCCACTTGGCTAACACAGACAGTCCCCGAACTCATAATAGAACTAAAATAAGGAAAATCGGAATAAAATTATAGCCTAAATCTAACCTGGTACATATACTACAGGGTGTATCCATAATTGTACTACACAAGTAATCTCACCGCGTAACATAGAATATAGGGGGAAAACATAACAAACTTTAATTGCAATTTATCTCATATATTTTTAAAAAATTGATATAAATTCAATTACTTACCATCTTGCAGCAGTGGTAGATATTATCGTTGATGACAGTCAGTCTTTACTTATAATAGCAATGCTAGGTTTATTTTTATTCGATTCGCTGCAAAAACAAAAATGTAAATTCTAAATACGATAGAGCTATTTGACAATTAAGGTAGGATCGGTCTTTGTGCAATCAAGAATCGAAGCTATAGTTTTTAAAGAAATAATATTAGTAATATGTAATAATAATTGATTAGTCCCGCAATTTTCAACTTTTTTTGAATCTTAAAATCCTTTCAATACCATAAACTGTTCGTAGAAAAAATTTCAGAATATTCAGAAATAATCTATCCCAGGGGTGTGCATCTTTCGATACAGGAGAGCCAGATACAAATAACTAGGTGAAACCGCGGGCTGCACCTTCAATCAACATAGGCTTTCTAGTAGTTGTATTTTTCCTTGTGGGCCGCATTAGGTCCACGTACTGAAGGTACACCCCTGAAGTATCCAATTAACCAAGAACTATCTAAATCAGTTTTGCCATAGGAAGGTAACAGGGGAAGAGACAAATAGCTCATCTGCTAGAGTTGTAGAAAGGCTTAACAAAATAAAATTAGAGACAACAAAGAATTATCTGAAACAGGTTGAAACAGTATCTACGTAACATGGCGTCCATGGCAAAGTTTAAAAATGCGCTTGATCATTGACTAACAATTTTTAGCTAATGTTGTTGAGACTTGAGACATGGTAATATTTGAGAAAAAGCACTACTTTTCAATTGTTTTAAAATTAAAACTATTTTATTGAGATATTTTATGATTGAAACATTTCGCCCTTTTTCACCCCTATCCAAGGCTGCCATCCCCCAGATATGCCACTAGACTGAAAGTAGCTATAAAAAGATTATTGATATATGGACTAATCCAATGACCACATGTCTCTTATTACGACAGTGATTGATACAAATACACAGTTTACTTCAACAATTTCTCACGTTTTTATCTGCTAGTTGTCATTTTCAAATACATATCCATCAAGGCTCACGGGTAATTGTTATAACGTGCGGTTTGTGTTATGAATAATGTTGGCAAACTGTCTGCAACTGACAAATCTATTGCAATTCTGCTTACTACGGCTGACATTGATTGACAATTCTCCAACAAAAACCTTTGAAAATTCTGTTTCAACAGCCGATTACGGTAAGGAGAAAAGCAATAATCGCTCTTTAGCAACCTCACGCGGAAAGAGACCTAAAATCCATTTCAAAGATACTTGATTGGTAACTTGAACGGGGAGAAAAAAATGTTTATATAAAAGGTTTCAAAAGTCCCTGAGAGCCGCTCGGATAGAAAAGCTTAACTTGTTTTTATGAAATATGTCAATCGAAAAAAATTTAAAACAATAATTTGATGTAGAACACGTAAAGATCTTTCATGAAACATCAATTTTCTGCGAAACACCGATTAAAAATCAATAGACTTAGAGACCACATCAATCAATAGACCACAAGCTCTTGAAACTAAAGATTATTTGGCGAGTCTTGTCCTCAGTAGCATAATGTTCAACATTCTCCTCACTGAAACCGGTATCTAGTTTAACATTAAGGGCACTCGAAAAAAAGAGCACTTAAAAGTATTTATGTTGTTGATTAATATTTAATCCAAAGCCCATTTCTCCTTTTCTCGATTGTAATATTTACAAGTGAAGTTCCATATTTGAGATAGACTTGAAACTAGAGTATCAGTTGAAATAAGCAAAATACTTGAATATAATAGTTTTGTAGTCATATCTAAAACGACATAAAAGTAGATAAAAGACGTTCATTGTTTTCTCTGTGATGTTTGTTACCAGTTGAGATATCTTACGTTTAGATCGGCTTGTATGACAGCACAAAATCCCTAATTTTGTAACGAGAATTATTTTTGAATTCAAAGATTTACTATATCAAATATAATAAATATGTCGGATAAGACAAGGTATGTTTCCATGACTACATTGGTAATACTTAAATTCTGTGGATTGAGCATGTGACAGATGTCATGTACACTTCAAGACAAATATCTTCCGTAATGTATCGTCAAAACAGTTATAATGGTGAATGGCAAGTGAATGAAGTAATTTAATATTATAGAATTCCCTTTATTCTTTTTTATTATAAACGCTATTCAGCTAATAAATGAGGTAACTTGATATTCTTCAGTTCTTTTTTAATAATGAACCAATGATTTTGAAGATTCAATTCCTGTCGGGAATGATTTTATGCGAAAAAGAATTGCTGAACCTCATAATATACCTAAGGAATTTATGTGCTGAGCTGATACGTTTCCGCATTTTGAAATTTCAATATGGTTTACATTTTAATATGTAGCATATGATAAACCTATGATTAACTTTCTTCTCCCTAAATATGTTCTATATCATCTTTGATTGGACCAAAGTTACTAAATACAATACTAAAATGTCAGATAAAATACTAAAATTTATTGAAATAAATAAAACTAATTTTTGAAAAAACCTACCGGTAAATCAATTTCAACATACCGGTAAATAGCAAATAATTCAGACAAAAACATAAATTTCTATAACTTAAAATTTTAAATAATCGCTAATCGCTAGAATCAGGAATCTAAATAACAAACATAATTAATTTCGAAACGATTCAAATATCAAATTTCTTTTGAACAATCCTACATCTAACCTAATACCATTCCTGTCTAAAAACCTGGACTCTGATCAGAGCGTGACTAGCAGAAAAACCAATCATACCACATGCAATCTCAGCAGAAATTTTGCTGATAAGTATTCAATGAACTAACAAGAATTGATAAATGAGCTGTGCGTGTATTTGCTCAGTCAAAAAAATGCTTAAACATTGATAACTAAACCGTAATCTCATATGATCATATCTAGCAAAGAGCAATGAAAAAGTCATTACTTGACAGAACGCAAACCAACCATCCCAAACTGACAAACAAACAATTGCATCATGTCATAAATATAGACCCATCCTTGCGCAAATACATTAAGATAGATTGACACATTAATGTGAACTGAGACATGAGGTTACTAGCAAACAAATACCCTAGATCTGTGGTTCCCAAACTTTTTAGAGTTGGGACCCACTATTTATTATTACCACAGCTTATGGCGACCCATTTAACTTTCTATGACATATCACAGAACACAGCAATGGCTAATCATCGCAAAACTACTGTGTTTCCTCGAAAATAAGACCTGGCCTGAAAATAAGACCTAATTTGAATTTAAAAAATGATTTTAATTAAAATAAATTTAAAATGTGTGAGAGAGTAAAGGTTAAATGACCTGAGGTAAGGTGAAGATCACACCACTATTCAAGATTGTGTGAAGTCATCACTTGATTTTTGTATAGGAAATACGAATAGAAACAATGGATGTCGGTTTTTATATAATATTTATTAAAAAATCTCGTGATTTTCTACAATGTAATTTTATTTTTAATAAATAAACAAAAAAGACCTCCTCCAAAAAATCACAGTGTTATTATTCAAAAAAAAAAAACTAAACCCTCGCAATTTCGGGGAAACACGGTAAGAAGTGCTGTACAGTGTACAAAACTGCTATGCGTATAAAAGCCACATGGTCATTCTTTGTGTAGCAAATTTTTGTTTCTTTGAGAAGATCATAAAAATGAAACTTTCACAGATTAGAATTTAAATTCAATTTTTTTTGGAGATTTACGTATTCGAGTCGCCACCGATCCTAATAACTAGTATAATTAATCGAAGCTTTCTACATCTTTTCACGACCCACTAAGATTTCTTTCTTTTCATAGTTTGGGAACCGCTGCCTAGATTGAACAGTGAATGTATTAAAAATTAAAAAAGACATAGAATTACGAGCGATAAACACACCTTCACTAAGAATGTCATGACCTGAGAGACAACATTGACTTAATTATTGAAACACTTACGAGAGATATAGTTTTTCGGCGCTCCAGAAGTGTGTGTACCAATATGGAGGTAACTAATTTTGTTCGCCTACTTTACATCAAATAGTGTAAAGGGACTGAAGTCTATGGGCAGGGGGTTTATTTAATTGGCTAACACAGAATGTCCCGAACTCGTAATAGGACTAAAATAAGGAATATGGAATAAAATTATGGTCTAACCCAGCGATTCCCAGAAGGTGCGCCGTGGCGAGTTGCTAGCTAATGAGCTAGAAATAACGAATAGTAAGATGAAAGTATGTTTTCTATTCAAAAAACTCTCTAAAAATACATGGATTGAACGTAAATAATGAAATAATTGAAATTTTTATTAAGCCTGTTTTTGAATGCCTCATCAAGTTTTGGAAAGGATGCGAGTGCATTTTGAATTAGCTGAAACAAGATCAAATCTAACAATATTTTTATTTTAATTAGCTCCACGCACCCTCAGAAAATTGTCTGTAAACAAATTCTGCTCTGGAATACTCCACATAAACCTACAATCTAGTCATAAAAAATTAACCTGGACTGAAGTTTGCCCAATTTAGCCACCAGATTACAAGAGGATCTTCAGCTTGAAAAGATACCGTGACTGAATACTATGGGTCTGGGTAATTTGAATTTATGACATCATAATAGTACCATAATTGAAGTCCCTGATTAGCGCAAAATCGTGTACTAGTAATCAAAAGTGTTTACTCAAGTACTGTGTGCTATATTTATTGATGTGACCTATATTTAAAAAACTGAGTGAAATAATTGCATATAACCCCAAAAAAAGAGATTTTGACAGGCCCGCTGACTGTACATCAGTACACTATGATATTACATTATTACACTTTTAGTACATTATGATAAATTCATTACTGTATGTGCTTTTTGGTCTCTATTTTTTGTAAAGTTTGAACTTCACTTTAAACACGATTTATAACTTTCTTTCTTGCATTAGCGAATAAGTATGTGATTAAGATATTGAATACTATTCAGGGTGGGTGCTCCCGAAGTATGCGAACCAAGATGGCGGACATCGGAACGTAACATGGGTAACTGGTTAGGGTTAGGCAATAATTTTTTTCCACTTTTCCTTATTTTAGTCCTATTATCAGTTCGAAGACTAGCCAAGAGCCTCCCGTAGTATTTATACCTAAAAT